ACACGGCCAATTTAATTTACAGGAAAAAACCATCTAATCAGCAACAATCAGAGAGAAGAGATTACTGGAGGACTAAATAGTTGTCTTTATTGTACTTGCCATAAATTGGAAAATCTCCACCTAATTATGACCAAATTGTTTCCTAACGCTTGTTCAACACTTGCTTTTATTCAGTAAATTCTATTTTGTCGAGAGAAAAGAGCAGCGGGGCCGTTTAACATCTCTGAGAACATCCCGGTGAATCCCAAAGGACGAGTCAAAGTCAGAGAGCAGCCACGAAGCTCCTTCATTAAAAGTGTGACTTTCTTTTTACAAGATCCTGGTCCTGCTACTATCAACTGTAAAACATCCCGCTGGGTACGCAGCTTTTATTGGAGAGGAGACGGTTGTATATCACCTGCCTTTAAACTCAACCTCAGGGACGTGCATCTGTATCGCTGTGATTTGTGTCCCTCTCAAGTTTATTGTCATTTATTTATTTATTTATTTTTATCACGCATCTGTTTTCTTGTGTTACACAACAGGTCGTCGCAGACACCAGAGACGGAGCTATAAACATCCTCAGTGTTCCTCTCCAACACAAATAATGACCTTCAGTGTGCTGGAGCCTGCAAGTGTGTGTTCATATTAAATGGTGCACACTAACCCTTCCTCTGCAGGAACCTCTGTTCCCATTAGGAACGCACCTGATCATGAATACGGTATTGCAGGAAAGCACAAATAATGTGATGGAAACTGATATTTCTTCTACCCAAAGTTGATCGTTGTTATTCAGGGAGGGACGCCATTATTGTCGTGTCTGTGTGTAACGTATCCTATAACAACGGTTCGTATGATATCATACTAAAAGTTACAAAAAAATTTTTGTGCGTTTTCCAACGAAAGTCCAGCAGCACGTTTCAATTTCATCGTTTGTTACATGAATACAGACTTTTCAAAATAAACTTCCATCTTCACAGGAAATGACCTCGTTAAGTTAAGAGAACAAACCTACTTAGTTAGGTTTAATTAAAGATGATGAAATACTTAGTTAGGTTTAGTAAAAGATGGTGAAATACTACATATTATTTAATTTTAAATACATTAAACAAACACTTCAGAAATGTCTAATGACGCCATCTGCAGATCAAAGGACCCCACAGATGACCCCAGCCCCAGAAGTTGACCCCCAGTGGCTCCCTGGACTACAGACTAAACCCTACAGAGGCTTCTGAGAGGCTTCCTGGCTCCTTAACTGGACTATTACTGGGAGGTTGCATCAGGGAGCGACGGTACTTTGATGCTGCAAGTGTTGTATTATTTAACAACGGACGAGCATGAAATGTCAAAAAGAGAAAATGCACAAAATCTATCTTGACAGCAAAGGATTTAGACAAGTAAAAGCTGTGTTTTAAAGCTGCAGTTATACATTCTTGGCCACTAGGGGGCAGAAAAACACACCTGCGTTTAACTAAAGTTATGTAACAACATACTTATTTTAAGCCAAACAACAATCTTTCCAAATGTTTTACAAAACTTAGCCAAGTATTTATTATTATATAACCTAACCAACGTATAACACACTTAAATTCATAATCCCATTATGGTCGCATAATAATAATAATATAATGATGTTATCATATAATGGTCATATAATAATAATGAAAGCAATAATTATAATAACTATCACAACAGTTATGATGACATAGCAATAGGTGCGAGGCCAGACAGCGGAGCGGCATGCGACATATTTTGGAATTTCTTTCAGACAGAAATAAGTGAAAGTTGGTGTTAATATTATATTATTGTTCAGCCACTGAAGACAGAGTGTTCTGTCTGTGACATTACTGAACATCACACGCTCCCTTCAGAGCCGAGTGAACCGGTGGAGTTCACACCAGAGCTGTGTGAGCTGCACACCTTGACTTGGGGAAGTTAATGCATTATGTAAATCAGGGTCCTCACGAGTATAGAGGAGCAGACGTGTGTGTTGTGTTCGTCCTTTCATAACAAACCCAGCTGATCCGTCTGAATACCTGATTGGTGAGTTTGTGTGTGTCGATTGGATACAAAATATACTGAATAAAAAACTAAAATAAATAACAGTAAATGTGTTGTTTTTTAGGTAGACGTCGGCCGGCAGAGCAGCTGCCTCAGCATGATACGGAGCGTAATGAATGGACAACACACATTTTAATTACAGCTCCATTGTTGCGGAGGTTTGGGAATCAAGTGTTTGTAATCAACAGGTGGTTTTATTGCTGTTTTTCCTTTTCTGCATGTCCCTGATCGACCCTACAACTGAATGCTATTCACAAGCTTTCAGGTCATTTAAGCAAAACAAAAACACAACAAAGTTCCTTATGTTTAATACAAACATCGTAGTTTGGCTGACTTGTCTGGTTAAAGATTTTATGAAACATTTTTAATAAACTCTCTCATCGGGAAGGTGGACAGAGAAGAAAAGGAGACACTTCCAGACTTTAAGCAACGCGTTGCCAATGCCGTGCAGCTGAACATCCATCCGACCGGCTCTGTTATCAGACACCTGAAAGTCTCCAGAGACTCTGCATGAAATGTCAGATAAATATCAGGAGCATCAGCTGACCGTCGGGCTCTCACAGCAGACTGAGCGAGCAACAGCTGGTGTTCAGATATTACAGCATCTGTTTTCACCCCCTGAGAAAAGAGACGCACCAACACAGCTAGAGAGCTCCTGGACGTCACGCTGAATTATTGGTATTAAAAACAGTCTGGGTGAACTCAGGAGCAGGTAGCTACTGGTTGTAGTGGAACATATAAATTCACCTTTTGTGTCCGTGGAATATACAGTTTATAATCACAGAAGCATCACAGACACTCTGAGGTTGTTGTGGATCAAGTGAAGTCCATGAATTAGATTCTACTGACATCTTATGGCAAATCTGTATCATTACATGTGAGATCGTGTTAAAACCTGGACCAAGATATTCTAGGAATTAAGACTAAATGTCCACAACTTTCAGCTCGGAGCTCAGGACCTTGTAGTCTCTCACACTCAACCATTTAACAGTGACGTCCCTGAGGGTTCAGGGTTTAAGGGTTCAGGGTTTATGGGTTCAGGGTTTAAGGGTTCGGTGTTTAGGGGTTTGGGGGGACATTGGGATCAGGCCTCTGACTTTTCCTCCAGCGCCACCATCAGGTCAAAATAATACCTGCAGAACTAATGACATCCTCATCGGCCTCATCAGCCAATAGCATGCTAGATGAACGGAGCTGCTGTCACGTCTGCAGACTCTTCAGGAGGAAATAAAGCATCCGTTGGGGACTATTTTCAGCTGCGGATTAATCCACGTTTGGTGCTCAGCGTTTGTATGCGGGACTGAGTCACGGTGATGAAGGAGCGGTGATGGCTCACACATATTTGAGAGCAGATGTATTCAGTGTTGGTTTTGGTTTCTTTCATTTGGTTGATAGAACAAGAAGAAAAATATGGATTATCACCAGATTTATCCTTTATTAAACTGAAGTTGTTCTTTAGCGTGAGAACAAATTATGACATCGGACATCAGTGACCACAGCTTCTATTTGCATGCAGACTAAAAAGGAAGCAGTAAAAAGTTTCCCCTAATCTACTTTTCATTCACATCATATTTCTGTCAGTATATATAACTACACATGCTGCTGCCGTTTAAACCTCATGTTTATTGTAAAGTTCTTACAGGCAGCACGGAGGAGGATAGTTGATGTGAAGCTGGATTTAAGGTGGCGGATCACTCTAAAGCTGCTTACGGGTGAATTACACGGATACAGAAGGTTTGAGAGGTTAAAGAGCTTCTGTGTGCTCTGAAACCTTTAACCAAATTAGCTAAAGTCAACAGTCAGCGGGCCGCTTCTTGTCCTATTATGGTTGGGCCTCCTCCACTGGGTGTTTGGAATTTGAATATCACACAGGCTTCACTTGACGTTACGTAACGCTGTCTGAAGCAGACTGATGTGTGCCGGCTGCAGCTGACACCAGAAAGAGTTTAAATGCAACCAGATGGTTCAGTTATCTTTAATATGCTCAGGCAGGTAGAAATACTTCATTTAAGAAACATTGTTATTCATGCACTGCTCAATGTAGAGAGTTTGGTTTATTCATCTTCCATAACTCGTCTTCTTTCAGACTAGAGGAAAGAAAACATTTATTTTACTACATTGTCTGTCTGTAGATGTCTACTAAATTCACCAAAAGCTACCATTACATAATGCCTCATTTACATATTTAAACATAACATTTCAGAAAACTTGTAATACAGTAAATACTCCTCTTAATGTGAGTGATGAAGTGGTGAAGGTTCATGGTGATATCTATGAGTTCATGTTGTGACCCTATTCACCTGTAGTCTTCTTAATGTGAGTGATGAAGTGGTGAAGTTTCATGGTGATAT